TTATTGTAATATTATTAATATAATAAATATAATTATATCAATACAATATAATATATAATATATTGTAAAATAATAATTACAATATCATATTATAATTATATTATAGTTATAATATCATATTATTAAAATAATTATAATATTATTATAATATCATATTATATGATAAAATAATAATATTACTGTTATTAATATAATTATGATATTATTTATTCTAATATTAATATTATATGATATTATATTACGAGTGTGAATTTTAGATTGAGAATATTGTAAATTTTAAATTTCATTTGGGGTATTATGGGTATTATGAAAGTTTTATTAATTGTACTATGTTGATTCCCGCACAATCTAAAAGCTAAAATTGTCTTTAGACTGCTTTTGATTTTGGCTATAGATTCTTAAAAAATTCTTCAAAACGCACTTTTGAAGAGATTTACCAAACACTAAAATCAACTTCTGCTACAAGCAAAAGCTGATTTTGAGAATGAAAAGCAATACCAAACTAAGCCTTAGACAATAAGCTAAAACGGGCCAGAGAATGAGCAACTCCATTGACCAGGGTCCAAAAATAGAAGAACAACCAAAATCAGGAAGATAAACAACAATATCAGAAATTAAGGCCGTGTTTAGAATTGATCTCGTTTTTATTTTTCACGTTTTTTGAGAAAAAAAATAAAAAGTTTCTAAAATGGCGTTTGGCGCAATAAAGACAAAAAATAGAAATGAAAATAATTTTTTGATTTAGTGTAAAATGAGAGATAAATGAAAAATGACTTTTAGTCATTTTTCATTTTTTTGTTTTCATTTTCTCATCTCTCGATCAGAGAGAGAGAAAGAGAGACATTAATTAGTTTTTTTACACTGAAAATAATCTCTTGATAAAACTACTAAACGCATTTTTAAAAATGATTTTTGTCTGAGATTGAAAACGTTTTCATTTTCATTTTCATACAAAAAACAAAATTATTTTAGAATGAGTTCCAAATGCGCCATAAAGCACCATAGTCACCAAACAAATTCATTTCTCTGACATCCGCCACTACCTTGCTCACACATGATTTAGCAATAGTCCACTCTCCAACCCTTGGAGTGAGCAAACAGTAAACCCTCACGAAGAGCAAAGCATTCGGCACCATAAGGCGAGAAACGCCCTTCAACCATCTTAGCAAAGGCACCCCAAACTATACTGGCTTCATCCCTGATGACACCGCCAACTGCAAAGTAATCCTAGGAATAAAAAACGGCGGCATCAACGTTAAGCTTAAGAGAGTCAAGAGGCGGACCAGACCAGACAGCAAGATTGCACTTTTGCAGCAGCGTGGGTTAAACATTAATCACTTGGTAACGCTGAAATTCAAAGAGATTCCCTTGTCTTCAAAGTGCTAAGTAAGCACATCATCCCTCTCCTAAATGCCAAGAGGGATCCAATTAAGTCAAACCTCCATCTCTTGTTCCCAATTAAGTCAGCCACAATCATATCCTTAGTGCTTGTTGTTGGGAATAGTGTCCTAGAGGCATGAGATGTAATAGGATATTTATTATTTAATTAATAAAAGAGTTTATTCATCATTTTATGTGCATATATTTATGAATATTTTATGAATATCAAATGAAAATTCCGTGATTGTTTATGTAACCTTAAACATAGTATATAAGTGTTATATACGAGAGGATAATGTTTAAGGATAATAATAAAAAATATTGTTCATGATGAAATTAATTAAAGTTCATAATCTTTAATTAAAACATTATTAATACATGTCATTCCCATTTAGAATGGAACGGTGTTATCCGCACTGTTAATATGGCGAGATATTGAATGAGTGTATTTCACATAATAAGATTATGTGGAACAGGGACACATACACAATATGAATTTCTATTAATTTCTATTAAGCATAGAAATTCTAATTGAGTCTACCGATGGTCATATATAGGATGATCTTAATCCTGAGTTCTTAACAAACTCCTATTTATGGATTTATGTCTTTTGATTTACTCGGTACGGATTCTGAGACCTTGAATCCTATTCCTTGTATTTTGGAGACATAATAAAATAGGTAGCTGGGAATGTTATTATACGAGATGGAATCTATTCCTTCTTGAGAAAGAAGTAGATAAATAATTCTCTTGAGTGTTGATTCGGTACTTGGATTAGTAAAAGCGCTCTGGTTCATGAATGTGTTTTATGAATCACTATCCATTAGAGAATCAATAGTACTCAAGGATATA